TTATTTAAATTGATCAGCCGGATTTTTGTTTAATATAAAAGAGACATAAACTTGAGTATTTTTTCTTATGATAAAAATGATGGTTCCTTATTAGATGACTATAAATCTTCATGTACTTATTATATAGTTCAATATGTCTGTATATATCCCATTTATTGGGCATCACCTGTTAACAATATCAAAACTAAATAACTTGTACATAAGATTAAATAGCATCTTCAGGTCTAAGAACCTTTTATGAATTGTGGATAGAATAATCTTTTATTTGATCGTAATTAACTTAAGATTATTCTATATGGTTTAGTTTAATATTTGTCGTGTATAAATACTTACTATGTTACTAAGAGTCTTACTCTAGTGGTTGAAATTTACTATTCTTTCACTTATAGTAGTACAACATGTGACAACCAAGTTAAGCATATTGTCCAAAGTATGCTTATGCTTGTGAACAATTTTAAGATTATCAAATCTTTTTATTTGATCATCCCAATAATCAATATGATTAATGTATGATCTAAGAATAATAACATTTATTAAATCACACAAAATAAATATGCATGTAAATAAATAATAATGATGGCTTTGTAGGGCATACAATTCTTTCATTTTCCACAAAGACACATTCTTGAGCATCATGGCCTCCTAAAGTTGGCTTTATCTCTCTCTTTTAGCGTCACCAACCTGGAAATCAGCTCTTCATCAATATTTTGGCATTGAATCCCCAATCTTTTCCCCAACTCAAATAGCGTGATCAGCTTTTCCAACTTTGACTATTGTCAAATTAATTTATTTTGATGTTGAATGCAACTATCAGACAAAGAGAGGCCGATTTTTTGTGATTCGTTCCCCTTCTCCAATCATCTTGCCCTATCCCTTCTTTCCTTTTTGCATCTAGTTTTCGTTATCACCCACATGGTTCTCATCTTTCTTGTTTCCTCTACTCCCTCATCCCCTACATAAATTTGGCAAAAACCAACATTTAGCCCCTCACCTTATAAAGTTGGTAGGTTTTAGCCCCATCACCTTATAACATGACAGTTTTAGCCCTTTATCTTACAAAGTTGGTAAGTTTTAGCCCTTCACCTTACAAAATTGGTAGGTTTTAACCCTTTACCTTATATTATGATATTTTTAGCCTATCACCGATACGAATTAAACAAAATAACCTTCACCTAACATCAAGTTATAATGTTCTGTTAGTTCTTTCAGTTAACTATTAACATTTGTTAGCATTCCGTTATAAAAAATATGAAATTTAAATTTAATTTAATTTGTTAGTTTCATTAACGGAATACTAACGGATGTTAACAGTCAACTAACAGAACTAACAGTCAGCTAATAGAACTGACAGTCAACTAATAGAACTGACAGTCAACTAATAAAACTAACAGTCAACTAACATAATTAATAGAACATTAAAACCTAATGTTAAATAAGGGCTATTTTCTTCAATTCGTATAGATAATGGGTTAAAAGTGTCATAATATAAGGTGAGGGGCTAAAACCTACTAACTTTGTAAAGTAAAGGGCTAAAAGTGTCATATTATAAAATTAGGGGCTAAAACCTACCAATTTGGTAAGGTGAAGGGCTAAATGTTGGTTTTAGCCCATAAATTTCCCCCAAATTTTTACATTTTTTAGCTGATAAAGACAACCCCTTCTGTTGTGTTTAATTAGGCTAAAACCCAGTACTAAATTCACTTTTTACCTGTTGCTCTTTATCCTCACAAGTCGTTAGCCTAACTAAGGCCTCCCTACCCAATCCAACCCATAATTCTCTAGCCCGTTGAATTCAAAAGTTTGAAAGAAATATTGTTTTAAACACAGTTTTGATTCAGCTTCTGTGTTTGCACAATCTTTGGCCATAACTGTTGCATCATCACCCACACAATCTTTTACATTAAAACTTGCCTCACTATAACCGTCATTAGAATTACTAAATCTCGAATTGGAAACTTTCAAACTTCGTTGTTCACTAGCCATCCACCAATCTAGATCCATACACCACTCCTCCTCCAACACCTTAATAAAAAGAGACTCCCCATCCATCATTAGAGTAATTGTATTGGAAATCTTGCGTTGTCATCACACAAAACCAAGACCTTACATTCACATAAAAAGTATTTAGTCTTCATATCATCATCAACAAGTATTACTTCACCTATTAAACCTACTAACTCCAAAAAACATTTCTCACTCCATGCCCACAATGGAACACCCATAAAATGAAGCCATCCGAGCCTAATCCTTAAAGCCATAGTAGATAACGAAGTTGGTTATATCCATTCAAACCAAGATTCCACCAATTCCCTGTTATTATTGAGAAACTCCTCTAAACAACCCTCTGTGTTATCCACTAATAAAACATATCTACCCTCCAATAGAGCAACATTCACCAGTAAACCATTACCATCCAACCTGTTTTGGATTTTAATCACCAAATCAAACGATCTAACCATTACCACCCTACTTTTACTCAACCATGCAACTTCATCCTCCCTAGGTGAAAACTATAAAACCAAATCAGTAGTCAACCCCTTTGGCACAAAGACCTTTGATATTGAAGACCCATCAATACCGTTTGTTGTGATGACATAGAAGCCTATTCAAGTATTGAAATTGGCACCACAATGAACTCTTTCAATGTTGCACCATTGTTATCCAACACAGCCACTTTCATCTCCATATCCTTCTTCGTCACTTCCAACCCCAAAACTTTGTTCAATGAGTACCCTTTCTCAAATGCCATAATATTTTGAGCAACAATCTAGGCATATGTTATCCCTGGACACGCCTTTCTATTCCATTTAATCTAAAGTTTCATTAACTACTTTGGTTGTCGTCCAACTAACATCCCTTCCTTCTCTTTTTTTAGATTCACTGCCAATTTCACTTGAAGACAATAAGAATCAAGCCAAATTTGATTCAATTTCCTTTCCATATCCTCGACATTTGAAACCTCAGACATACGAACAAAACCAAAACAACAGCCTCTCCAATCTCTCCTTGTTGGAATATAGACATCCACTATTTTCCCAAAAGACCAAAAACTATACCTTACATCCTTAGCAGAACAATTAGCTAGAAAATGATAGAAAAAATATGTAGTTGCCTGCCTAATAAACTGCTTGCCATATCTTGGGAGTCATCACCAAAAACCACTCTTGCTGTCCCTAGTTGTCGAAAACCTATCTCGAACCCTAGCTTTCTCTCTCTCTTCATGGTATTAAATTAATAAATATATTTAATATTATGGGTTTAAATAAATAAAATATTAATCATTTAAATGACATATAAAATTTTCTAAAAATGTGGTATAAAAAAGTTATTCCTAAATCATTTTTCTTTTTCTTAAAAAAATTATATTATGATATAGTTACTAGATTTTTTTTATTATTTAGTAAAAATGTAATTTGTAATTTTTTATAAGTAAAAATACTCTAATAAAATTTATTATAAATGTATCAAAAAATTTTATAATATCTATAATACATTTTTTTTTATGTAATAGTTAAAATGTTAAATTTGTTAATATTAGTTAAATAAGTTACCATAAAATTAAAAAAATAACAATTAAAACTCTCTCTAAAAAGTGTTCTCAGTATTTTTTTATAATTACAAATAAATGTATTTTATTCAATTCTAAATTACTAGATATTTAAAATAATTTTTTTATTAATTGAGTTAAAATTTTAATTAATTGAAATATTTCACTTTAATTATTAATAAAATAACTTTTTTTATGTAAAAAGATTAAAGGAAATTTGTTAATTGAATTAACCATATTTAAAAAAAAAAAACAAATTTTGGTAATTAAAACTGAATTTTTTATTTAGTTTAAGTTATTAAAATAAAAATTATTAATCAAAATAATAAAAGACTAGAAAAAGAGTTTTGCTTATTGTTCTTTTTTACATTTTTAATATTTATTTAATTAAAATAATAAATACTAAATATTTTGATTATTTGTCAATAAAGGATATTATAGACCCTTTAAAAAAATTATAATACATTTATGAGAAATTTAGTTTCATATTTTCACTTACATAAAAAAATTCTACTTTTGTTTAATTTGAAAGAAAAGTCTAATGAACTCACTACGAATGAATTTTTTCATTTTTTAATGATTAATTCTTGAATACGACAACAACAGAAGTATACATAAACTTTGTTTGAGGGTATTTTGCTGTATTATAGTTGACTAGACTATGGTAATAAATTTTTTTATTTTTTATTATAAAAATATATAAAATATTAATTAAAATTAATTGCATATAACAAATTTACGTTTTTAAATACGTGCCAAAAAAAAAAATACTATGTAAAGCACTTCCAATCAAAACGATAAATTTACATTTTTAAATACATGCCTAAAAAGAAAAGAAAATTATATAAAGCACTCGGAAGCATTTATTCCTCTTGGGTGGAGATTATGGATAAAATCTCCATTACTTACAGCGATGGTTGTTGCACGTAGAAAACAAGCAAGCTGAGAAAGCAAAATGCAAAGTTGCTTTCAAGTGATAAGTTCATTCAACATGCAGAGTTCTTTCATAATCTCACGCACATGCTTATAATGTTTCTTTGGAAACGAAGTTGACGTGAATAATCCTCTTAGCGATTATGAATTCAAGCACAAGGCCCACTACCGCTCTAAGGAGACGTTTGTTTTGGCTATTAGCCCTTAAACAACTGAATATTATGTTCGGAAATATATTGTTATCATCCATTCGTTATCACCTATCAACTAAGATGACATTTACCATGTTCACCTCTTGAATCTAGAAAAATATATCCTGTACCCTTTTTTTCTTTCTTCTTTTTTCTTTTTCTTTTATTTATTTATTTATTTATTTTTGCCTTTGTCTTACCATGGGCTTTAATGTTTCTTCTCTGTAAGGTAGGTCCAGTTTTTGGAATCAATAAAAAGTGAAAATTAGAATGAGGGTAATTACTAATAAGTAATAAGCCTAGCCTAGCAGAGCAGAGTTTCTGATATGTGAAAACCGCACAAGGTGTAACTTATGTTTGGTATTACAATCAATTCATAGTTCGTGTTGTGACACAATTGATGATCCAATGAATAAAATGAAAGAATGCAATGACGTAGTAGTGTTAAGGACAGATAATACCTCAACATTGATCAGATTACACAGGCGCAGTCACCTGCTTCACATATCAGTACAGCTGTATCTTTGTTCAATTGACTTGCCAACTTAGGCTGGATCTTAGGATATTCTTCCCTGACAAATCTTGCTGCTTCTGAAGCATGATCAGCATCAACAAATGCAACACAACATCCTCTGAATCCAGCACCACTAAACCGTGCTCCAAATACGCCAGGAGCCCTTAATAGTATCTTGTAAAGTTGAATCAGTGGCTCAGAACCTGGGCAATCAGTAAAAGTTTCATGGACATTAAGTTTGTTCCGATTCCTTGCTGAATATAAGCCCTACCTCTATCCCCATCTGAGTTTGGTCATTGTATTGCAGTAATACAAAATTTAAATACCATCAATTGGTTTTTAGGTTAGATTCAAGTTTGAAGTTCACATGCACAATTTGTCCAACACTAAGTGGCCTAGTAGCCATACCCCTTGGACAGAGGTGTTAGGACATGAAGTCCTCGGTTCTACACCCAGGAACTGCTAATTGCACACCCCCAAAAATTCCCTAAGTTCAAAAAAAAAAGTAATGCACAAATCATTTGGAGCAATTTTTATGTAATGCAATATTATATCACGGTAGAAATTTAGTAAAACTTATCCAAAATGGTGCCGACTTAACATGTCGGGACTTTACATCTTCAGCCTGGTGATTTCATCATCATGGACAGATCTACTTGGCCATCAAGACCAGCAAGACAAGGATTAACAAAATATAACAAGTATGACAAGAAAAAGCAATGGCAAGAAAGCATAGTTAGATATGAATTTAACTTAGAAGAAGAGTCATACCACATTCATAGTTTTCAATAGAACTTAGACCAGAAGCTGAGATAAGCCTTCCAAATTCTTCCAGTTCTCCAGTGGCCCAAGCTTCCAATCCTGAAAAGATCATTTGTATCAATAAGCATTTAGCTGATGAACCATAAAATAACACCATCTCACATAAGAGAAAATTATGTTTGCTGCATAAATTTAAAAAGGCAGTCACAGATAAATACCGTTGATAACCCGCATATTCTCTGAAAAGTAATGCTCTGCTCTTTTAGCTAGATCTGGTTCTAACTTGAACTACAGGGGAACAAGACAAGGATATATCAGAAACAACAAACACATAAACAAAATGTAGTCTGAGAGGTTTATAACTAGAGCTTCAGTTTCATGTCTGTTAGACAACACAATTATACCAATGAGATGTACTGAAGAATAAATTAAAAACCCTTATGGGGTATGCTTCTAGTTGAGATTCTGTTCATTTTAAGTTCCAGACTTCCCAGTCTTTAGGGGAGAAACAGGGATGAATGAGAAATAGGGTCTGAAATGCAAACTTCTGAAATATATAAAATTCTCAACCACTATGATCCTCTTGTGAAAATATAGATTTTCTATTTTTGTTTGTGTTGGTGTACATATAAGTTAGAATTGAACTTTTTTTCATCACATGTAGTAATTTGTTCAAACTGTTTATTGCTTGCTTTCTCTTGGTACTAAATAGTTAGAAGCAAGAACCTCAAATGATGTACTAAACTACAATTTATTTTGCTCTAGTAGGAAAAGGTAATAATAGAATGTATGTGAAACTGAAAAATTCAAGTTACAAATTAAAAGAACAGGAATTTTTATATTTAAGTATAGAAATTTAAGGTAGTGCAGGTAGATAACTAAGAAATGAATGCGGTATAAGATATTGAGATTTGATGTGGATGTTTATACCTCTATTAAGAAGAAATGCAGCACGAGATCTAAATTATTAATAAGTGGATGTAAATTACCTTGTATGCTTGATAAGCCTCTGGCTCAACTGTAAGAGGAGGAAAAGAAGAAAAAGGAGGTGGGAAATTAAAATTAGATACAAGGAAAAGGAAAAGTAAAGCTCAAACTTGCACAGAAAATTAAACTAAATACTAGCCATTGCAAAGGAGAGGGTCCAGTTCACCACTTCCAGAAGCACTGTACAACAGAGGGAAAACAGTATCATAAACAGGTTGCAAACCCCAAACCTTAATAAGAATGCATGCCTTGTAGGTTATAAAGAAATCAAATTGAAAAAATGTTAGGGAAACACTCTAAATAAGGTTCTCTTTGGGTGAATATGTTATATTTTATAATTCATAAGTATTTGCAACAAGGGAAGAAAAAGAAAATACAAGCAGTACTCTGAAGAGACAACACAACTTAACTTGATTATATTAGATTCACTTAATCTTGATTATTTGCTTTCATATCAAACTTCTTAAACAATGGTTTTGATTTGATAAAAGAAAAGATAATGTGCATTGAACATATTTCTTGTCCTGCCTAATGATGCAGAAAAGATTCTAACATCAACAAATTAAGTGTGTTAACTTTGTCCAATCAATAGTCAGATTTCTTTCTAGGCTTCCTATTTCACTAGATATAAAATATTTCATTCAAAAACAATTGAAACTATTATCAACCATAAACATTTAAGAAGGAACTATAAGTGAAGTACAGACAACCAAACATGGAAAAGATGTTGAAATGCTTCTTAAGGTTCTTAATAGGAATGCAAAAGGAACATACTGCAGAAGAATTCTAGCTGCTTCTTGGCACTCTGCAACTCGGCGATTGTATCCAGGATTGGTAGTCAAGGCCTGCTTCAAGCCTGAAAATGCTAATAAAATTTTGAAGGCTTTCTGTGGCCCAGTCTTCTGGTCCTTTTGCCAACTTGGAGGACGTATGAGCTTGTGTTCTTTAGTCTAACAATACACATCACACTAAATTAGCTAGCATTAGAAAAAAAAAAATAAAAGACGACATATTGAGAAGCAGTATCTACATAAGAAAAATAAAATCTATATGAAATTTAATTAATATTTCTGATTAACATTTCACCTTACAGTTCATGCAGGTTAGACAACCGCAACGTGAAAGCAATATGGCTGATTGATCCAATATTCCATTTCTCAGACCTAAATATTCATTTTCAATTGCCCTACATGTGTTGTAGCATCAATTAGAAAAGTTTTAACGTGTAATGACCAATTGGGCCATTGATTAACAAAAATATTCAATCACCATAGCAAGGCAGGCATACGTGCTTCAGTATCTAAAATGGAAAGAAAACGTACCGATCATACTCAATATTTTTGGTTGGAGATTGAGATAAATTGTTTGCACTTTCCAAAGCCAGCAGATAGGCAATTCCAACCTGTCAAAGATTACTATATTTTGGAAACAAGGATATTTTACAGATAAAAATAACCACATATTGGCCCATGAATATAAAGACAACTTAATTACATCTTCAAATTTTTAATTATGCAATAACATAGATAGAAGAAACACAAACTTACGGCAGCAGACGAGCTAAGGCCTGAACTGTCCAGACCCTCAGATCCACAGATGTACCCTATGATGCCCTACATTTGTTAAATAGAGTATAAGATAAATGTAAAATCTATAATTTTACAGTAAAAGAAAAGAAAAATAACCAGCCAAAAAATGCATTATCTGCATTTATTAATTTTTCAAAGAACCATGCAGAACTTAAGTTGGGTAACTTCATTTTTAGTGAAAGTTTTCAGGACCCGAACAATAAGGTCTCATACAGGCTGATTAGCAGACCAGTGATGTTATCTACCTAAGAAGCAAACAGACCAGTAATTTCATTTTCTGTTATTAATATAACGTAAAAAGGGAAATTATAAATTATTTCCAACCTGAACAAGATGGTTCCCTCTGCTTTGTAATGCATACAATGCTCCTCTTGCATAACATCCCCAGTTGCTTTCTTCTGGCGATTGAGTAGAATTATTTTTACCAATTTCTCCATTCCTCTTAATAGTCTGTATTGGGCGCTGGGTCTCACTAACTCTATTAAACCAATAAGAACAGATAATTGAAGCCATAAGGCACACAATATTGTATTTAATAATATAAATAATCAAACATTACACTAACAAAATTTTTTCTGAAGCATAAGTACAAGTCAAACACAAAAGGAAGTAACCTGGGATCAAAGGAAGGATATTCACAGACACAATTATTTCAATTTTCAATTGCATAGGGTTAAGATATCCAAATAATGGTGCTAATGGAAATTCAAATATTCACTCAATTAGCTATATGATAAATAGTTCATTAAAAAAAAGAATCCTAAAATCCAAAGTCCTTCAAAGGTAAAAAAGGTACTGAACCACAGATATACGTTATAGACCCACACAGGGAAAAAAAAAAAAACCTTTTATGATACTTTAGAACACTGTCCATGCCGTTTTACAGCTCAAGCAACTCAACAAGTAGACAAATGTAAAGACCAATAAACATTATACGACCACGTGACTAGTTATACTTCAACCCCTGGAAACACAACTAAAGCAATTCAATAAGATGTTTAATCAAGTGAAATGTAATTTATATTTAACCAGATTGCATCATAAGCTTCACTAGAAGAATGTAATAGATGGTTCCTATATTCTTCAAAAAATTCCGTATATTAAGATCCTGCACTTGAGCTTTTAAATAAATAGCTACTACATTTACTCATAGTATAATTTAAGAATAACGCACAAACGAGAAGAGGATTATGAATAACTCCCATACCTGAATCTAACTTCTCCTTCGAACTGTCCTGAATGCAGTACAACCTACACCAATTCATTCAATTAAGGTCAAAACAGAAAAGATGGAAACAGCAGAACTGCGAAAGAGATAACAGTGTTCATCCTGTAAAACAAGCACTGATAACATTGTTTATATCTTTTACAAAAAAACATAAGCTCTTTATGTTAATTTACAAGGAAATGTGTGCATTCAGGCACCTGTGTGTCACCAGAAGGGACAAATCCTAGCAGAATTCCCCTATTAATCGTCATAGCCGACACAGTACCACCCTGGAAGCATTGTGTGTGTGTGAGTCCATATGAAAGTTGCATCGAATTGTAAACAATGGAAACATATATTTTACAAACAAACATAAACCTGATGATCAATATGGGCTCCCAATGGACAAATCCGATAAGGAGATACTACAACTCGGATTTCCTCCATACCTCTCCCCGACATTTCTGAAACTATCTTCTTGATCCCATCCAACTGCAACACACACATTTTTTTCGAAAACAAATAATTCAGTCATCCAAAGATCTGTTAGGTTGGCGTATCGAAAATCCAAATCAACTTGAAATTTGGCTTCGAAGTACAAAGAAGCTGGCCGGACTACATAATGCCCTGGCCAATGGTGATTTCCAGTGGAGAAAACGGGCAGAATGCAGCAATAGCTAACAGACAGGCGGGATATAATATTGAAATATATATAATTGAAAAGAGTGTATAGCTTATTGTTGAAAATATGAAGGATATGAATCAACATTATCATTACCTCTGCCTCTGTAGGCCAAGACATTTCTCCCATCTCCGAGAGAGTCTGTTGATTAGAGATCGCTTCAGCTTTTGTATTTTCTTTTAGTTCAACCCACAGGAGGCTTATAAAGTGAGAATGTGGAGATAGATCGGTGTGCTGTTCTGGGAAGCGCTGGGTGCTGCCGTCCAACTTCTGCCTTTCTGGCCAGTAAGATCAAAAAGATGAAAATGGTAAATACCAAATTTTAGTGCCCAACGTTTAGCATAAATAGTAGATATTATCTCAACTTTTTATCTGTACTTAGTAATGGTCCCAACCTTTTCAAAATGACTATTTTTTTTTTTTTTTGAACATTGGAAATTATGGGAGAATGAAGAATTTTCAAGTTATTGATGAGAGTTGAACTCCTAACTAACTTAACCCAAATATTAGGATTTAAGAATGAAATATTAAACGCAAAAGACTGGTTCCAAAATCACTAAATTTAATCCTACTTCTAGCCGCATACTCTAATGTACCTAATGAAATTCCTAATTGGAATTTTACACGGACTAGTGAGAACCCTCAAAATAGGAAAAAGCTAGTCAAACCCCATATCTCTGGGATTTTTATTTTTTTATCCCAAAATCTTTAGTTTATTATTTATTATAATTAAGACAACCCCTGTATATGAAGGTTATTAGGTTAGCCATTGAAATTTGGAGTTGGCGAAAACAAAAAATTTTAAAAAGTACAAGGATTTAGGATTGTAGAAAAATGAAATATAATTTATACAAGATAAATTGTAAATTAATATTTTTAATATAATTTTTAAAATAATATCATTTGGCGAAAAAAAGGGTTTAGACTTTGACTGATTCCACAAAGTAATGAAAGTATAATGAAAGGTAGGATTAAAATGGATGATATTGAAAAATTGGAGAATTTTCTTTTAAAAAACATTTTATTTTTTAAAAATTTGAGATTTCATATTAAAAATTTTAAATTTGAATTTTAAGATAAATAAGGAGAAATTTAAGAAAAAAGAATTGTTATATATTATATAATTTATTATTTTATATAAAAAAATTTGTAAATTATTTTTTTGTCTAAATAAAAAATTAAGATAATATATTACATTTATGGTAAAAAACGGTGACAAAATCCCTTATTTATCCAAGAGGTGAAAAGGTGAAGGGCTGAAAAGTGTATAAGGGAATTGGGGCTGTCGGTCATGACGATGACTCGTGAGTGGTGGTTAAATTGGAGATGTTCGTTGGTTTAGAACGTCGAAATTGGTATCGTTTCACATCATAATAAAGCATTAGTTGCGGGCTTTAGGTGGGTTGGTCGGTCGAATTTCCGGATCCACCATATGGATGAAAATTTTCTTATTTTACAGTGGGATTATGTTACATTGTAAAAGATAAATTATTGGAGAAACATAACTTTTTAAATATTAGGAGTTTTTTTTTATTTAGTTATTAAAGTTGTGTATTTTAAATTATATGATATTTTTAAAAAAATTAAATGTGTAAATTGTTGTTTAAAATTATTGCATTGAAATAAATTATTAAAAAATTATTGATGTAATTTATCATTTTAAAATTTAAATTTCAAGAAATCAATATATATTTAATGGTTATTGTTAAATTTTATTAAATTATTATTGTTAAATTTTAACAAAATGTTAACAATAATTATTAATTTAAATTTGAGTCGATTTCTTAAAAATAAAAATTTTGGATGATAAATTATATCAATATTTTGTTTAATAACAATTTGCTTCAACCCAACAATTTTAGGGTGAATTTGTGACTTTTACCCTTTTTCAAATGGAAAAAAGGGGCTTGGTTAAATATAAAAATTATAGCAAATAATAAGATAAGTATAACAGAAAGAGAAGAAATAATTAATAATACAATCAATTCAAGGCGCTTAGTCCCTTTTAATTTTTGAAATTTTTCCATCTCACATGAGAGTTACAAAATTTTAGTTTTTTGAAAAGCATTTGAAACTCTTTTAATAGACTAAACTCCTATTAAGATATAATTTAGAGTTAGTTGGTTGAAAAATCTATCACATTTAAGTAGATGAAAACTTTTGTCTATTGAGAATATGAAAATAGTAACTTAGCTTGTCATAAATTTTGTCTTAAGCATCTAAGACTGATAAAACCTAATAGAGATTTAAACACGTTTCAGATGATAAACTATACTATGATTCTTATATATGGAAAGATGAAATCCTGAAAAACTAAGGTGTTTTAAAACTCATGAATGGGCTGACCCTAAATTCTAGTACTTGTTTAGAGGTTTTTCTACTCATATGGGATAAGTTAGAGAACTCTAAAAATGAGTTTTGCCTACATCTATAATGTCAACATTATCCTCTATGTGATATAGTTAATGGAAAGTATGAATTAGTCGGATCCTTGAAAAGTAAAAATACATTATAAAATTTTGCTGTAATAAAATATCTTGAAAAAAAGAGTGAAAATAAGTTATTTTTAAAATTTTTAATGAAAATTTATTAAATTATTATTTTATGTTTTTTTTTAATCTTTAGATATTCAATTGGTAAATATTAATCCATGTTATTATATAAGAGTATATATTAAAATACCTCCAAACTTATTAAGGGGGAAAGACTTTCGAAATACTTCATCTCTTTTGTTATTTATTTTTTCTTTTGATGTACTAGAATAAATATTTCAGCATAGAAGAAAAGAGGGTTGGGAGGGAGAATATAGACTGAACTTATTATAATAAGGGTGTGAAAGCAAAAATATTAATGACAAAGTCAGTTCAATTAGCAGGACTCCTCCCCCTCTCTCTTTTTTTTTTTTTTCTTTTTTTAAATTGTCTTATTTGGGGTTTATACAAAGAGAGTCAATACCGTATCGATATATGTATCGATTTTGTTATTAAAACAGTATGTATCAAATATCAAAATTTTTTGTGTATCGTTTCAGATTTATCGTTATAAATATATATTTTTATAAATTAAATATCAAATTTTAAAACTATTATAAGAGAAATTAATGTAATTAAGGACAAAATTTGGGAAAACCTTTTGAGTTAGTAACAATCCTTTTTTTTTAAACCATTAACCTAAACCCATTATAACCCAAGCAAAGATCCTTTAGATGGTTTAAGTTAAAAACATTAAAATAATGATAATCATTAAATAGATGATAGCAAATCACATTCAATTTATAAAAGTTAAAAAGGTTGAATGATGAAACAAATACCTAATGGTTCATCACAAGAGTTCTTCAATTGTTTCAGTGAAGGGACAATTATAAGCAAACAACAAAATTAATGATCTTGTACATAATTATAAGGATCCTCATCTAAAGGAATTCCATAACCTGTAACTCCACCAACTCTAGCCCAAAGTTGTTCACTTTCATTTTCAAGAGGAACCACTAGTATTCATAATGATATCCTACAAAGACAACCCCCGAGGAAAAAAAAAAATTATACAACAAAAATTATATGGAAAATATCATAGCAACCCTAAACCATAGATTTGAAACTGATATTCTACAAAGACAACCACCGGGGAAAATAAATAAATAATTACACAATAAAAATTAAATGAAAAATATCAGAGCAACCTTACTAATTAAATCATCAAACTGCAGAGAAATAGAAATGGATCTAAAAATGACAAAACTACTTAAAGAAATGCACACTCACTAGTAGCACTCAACATTTATTAATAACATTTCTGTTTCTGATTTTGATTTTGAACCCTTTGCATTCAACCAAAAAAAATGAAAGGCATGGCATTAGTTCCCAACACACGGTAATACCATAGATTTGAAACAAGATTTTGGTAGATGCACACTAACGCAAAGAATTGTAATAAAAGAAGAAACGAAATGAGATCCAATCCAGATCTAGAATAGCTAACATTGTCATGCTGCAATTTTTATCTGTCTCCAAGATCTGTTGGAAATGCCTTTGCAAAAATTAAATACCAGGACACCTACATTTTTATTTTATACTAGGACTGAGGAGTTCAAGTTCGACATGGACATGATTTGAATTTTTTTTTTTTTTAACATGGGCATGGGACTATGCATACTGGCAGAAAAAGTAACCTCGGAATGAAAATGTGAAGATACCTAAGATGGAGCTGGGCTGTTGGAGAGTGGTGGAAGAGCGAATAGTGGCTGGAGTTGGACCACCAGCAACGGCTGGAGTGGCTGGACCACCTGCGAGGAGTGGAGCTCAAGCCTCAAGGACTGTTGGATGTTGGAGAACAGAGGAGAGGCACGATATGAAATTGCAGGGTTTAATGAAGAAGCTTGAGGAGAGAGAGCAACGGCTGGACATTAGAGCTGGAGAACAGAGGAGAGATCGGCCGAATGTTGGAGAAAAGAGGATAGGCACGTTGTTTTGGCTAGGGAATCTTTTTTTTTTTTAATTCTTGCATAATGTATCGGTCAAATTTTGGTGTACCAGTCGGTACACGAAATTTTGGTCGGTACATCAAAATTTAACTGAAATCCCAAAATTTTGACCAAAATAAAATTCTAATTTATTCCATTTCGATTCATCTCAAAAATTAGTATGTACTAAATACGGTACAAACTACCTTGGTTTATACACTTATAGAAACAATGTAGAGAAAAATAAAAAATACAATAGCACCTGGCCTTCGGGCCTAGTGGCAAATGCCACAATGAAGGTGCATCCCCCTCCCCTGGGTGGGTTCGACCCACCCCATGATCATTTGTTCAAAAAAAAATAATAAAAAATAAATAAAAAATACAATAATTATGCTTTGAAATACTTTATTTGTCCATGGAAGTTTACTCCCTTTATCAATAGGTTAAAATAATAAACATAAATTTAGAAAATAAACATTTAATATTTTTATAAATAAAAAAGGGGTTGTACTAGTACTACTTAAATGTTAGTACAGAATACCAACCAAAACCTAGAACCTCCGAAAAACCAAAGTGATAAAGTTAGGAAAAACAAAAGATCAGTAAATAAGAAGCAGAGGTGATTGATGTTACGTCACTATCGAGTTAAATAGTTGACACAAGAGTAGTGCTAGGGGCACTCGCCTCCTGCACTCTCCAGCCAACACATGCCTTTTTATTGGACCACGTAAGCTTACTTTTTTTTTTTTGGTATAAATGATCACCTCTCTGCAACCAAAACAACGTGGCCCAATGAAAATGGAAGTGTTGGTTGGAGATTGCAATTGGCGAGTGCCCCTAGCATTCCTCGTTGACACAAACTTACGATATAGTTGCACTGGCGACACTGATTGGATTGGTAATGTGTAATAAACATTATAATTAAAGTTTAATTTTTATAATTAATGAGATAATTTTTGATAAAAAGATTAATTAAAAAATAATTTTTTTATTAATTTCTTAATCTTAACATAAATAATTTTTTTAATTAAGTTACAAGAAATTAATATTAAATTGAGCACAAGGAAGCCGGCTAAGACACTTTCAAAAAGAAATCGACATTGAATGATTTAATAAACGTGGAGGCCTAATCGAAATCTACAAACGGACAAACCGTAAATTGTATATTTTTAAAAAAGCGGTTCTAAAATAATTTTTTTATATTATTTTTTATATAATTTTTATATATTATTAAATGAGTAAATATATTTAATATCATGAATTTTATATGAATTAAAAAAAAATCTATCATTTATGGTAATGCTATAAAAATAATTTTTTTATATTATCTTTTAATACAATTTTCACATATAATTAAATAAGTGAATGTATTCAATATCACATGTTTTACATAAATTAAAATAACTAATTATTTAAATGA